GGCAGAGAGCCGTGACAGGATCGAGAGGTGAGCGAACCCGGTATGTGTTCGCTCACCTCCCGATCTACTGAGCCGACCTGTGACAGTCTCATTGTCACAGGTCGGCTAGAACTATGAGGTGAGTGAAAAGCCCCTCCCCCCCTCATAGTTCTCCTTTAATACAATATATTAATTAATGTTACAAAATAATGTACAATAAAAAACACAAAAATAAGAAAGACTTACCCTGGCCTGCAGTGATTTTTGCCCCCGGCGAATGCCGCCCTTCTTCTCGTACACTGAATGGAGTCTTTCAATCAGGAAGCGTTTATCTTCACCTTCCTACCACAGACAGGAGAAAGACCGGAGATAAGATAGAACTACCTCAGTAAGAGCTCCAGGAGGACAGGGCAGTATTCCTAACCACTAACCAAGAAAATGGAGTCACCCTCTTGGCCGTGCTACCAAAAGTGTATGAATCCCAAGTGGCTGGACAGAGTTACAATCAAACACAGCTCACAAATGTGCATTTTCAGATCAGCGTTAACTCCTTAAAGGGACACTACATCCGAGTCCCTGAACTCTGAGCAACAATGTATCTTATTTGTGTCACTCGGCTGGAGATCCTCCAATCATCTCTGACACCGTCCTTCCTTCTGGAGGGTGACTACGTCTGTTCCCCATGCTCCCTGTGTGTGTGGTAAAGTAGTCACCGCTCCAAGCTCCGCCCCTGGGATAGACTACAATCTCATGTTTAGTTTACTCATTTGTATTGAGATTGTAGTCCATCCCCGGGAGGAGCTTGGAGCGGTGACTACTTTACCACACACACAGGGAGCATGGGGAACAGACGTAGCCCCCCCTCCAGAAGGAAGGACAGTGTCAGAGATGATTGGAGGATCTCCAGCCGAGTGACACAAATAAGATACATTGTTGCACAGAGTTCGGGACTGGGAGGGATTTATAAGATTTAACTCCGGAGTTTCGTGTCACTTTAAAAGTGTATATAACCCCAACAATCGGCAAACAAATAAGGTATTTATTTATTCAATAAGTGGGAACAACAATATCTGCTGATTCTTGTTATCCTAATTAACCAATAGACTTCCTTTGCAGCACCGAAAACGTGTTTCTAGATTCAAATCTATTCAGATAAAAGGAGGAGAGCGAGGGAGAGACAGACAGATA